TCATTAAAACAGAAATGCACTGGCAGCTGTCATTCCCTAACAAGGCACATATTTTTAAAATGCTGTGTTTTATATACTGTGTGAAACTGAGACATTGGATGCATTTTTATAATGTTTTGTGTAAGAAAAATAATTCTGAACACTTTGTTGTATGCTAGAAAATACCTGCAATTTTATACAGATGTGTATTACCCAACTGTACGGTCAGAGCTGGGTTCCACTCTCCACTCAGAGGTAATCATCTTACTTGAAAAAAAAAATAAGTCAAAAGGAATATTTTTGATTTTGTTTTTAAATGTGCTGACTAAAACCAGGAGGATACAATATCTCCTAAGAATGCAAAACATAGTTTTCCTATTTCAGAATCCTTTAGCAGCTTACTTAGTATACTGCCTTGCTTACATTATATACATCCACCTTCGCAAAATTTGTCTTTCAATTGGACTCTTTGTCAAACCACTGTGTAACAAAACCGGATGGATGCATTAATATTGTACAGTGCAACCTGATGGAAGATCAGCCGTTACACCTGTGTTGCAGCAAGGACCTGACCTACCCGGAGTACTATGACTCTGTCCCAGTATTCTCTGAAATCAACAGAAACCTTCTTTTACTTGATAGTTTTTCTGAATTTAAAAAAAATATATATTTTCTATTATTGACAGTATCAGAGCAACAACAGGCGTCTCTATACAATTGCACCTTTAGAACAAGGGGTCAGTGAGGTTTTGACGGGTGGTGCAGATGGCAAAAGTGTCTCTCAACTGACTAACCTCCTGTCTCTGACCCCGCTCTTCCCTCTTGCCTTACCAAGTTAGAAAAATATTTGAAATAGAGCCACTGAAAATTGTTTCCAAAAGGCACTGCAGCTGTGGACTCCCAGAGATAACAAATTAGCACTGTAGCAGGAAACAAGGGAAGCAGGTGAAAAGGGCTGGTGAATGTTTTGATGTTGTAGCTCAGTTCATAAAAGCAAAGCTGAAACCTGCAAAAAATGAGTGGTACTGAAGTCTGTCTCAACCGCGCTATAAGCACTGTTAACACTCTTGGTATAAATAGGAGTCACAGCACACGCTGTGGTTTAGCTAAAACGTTCCATACATCTGTACTTAACTCTGAGCCAACTTCCTTTTCAGGTCACCATTAAATCATTTTAATTAGGAAATAGTTACATGGTACTTACAGTAATAAAAACGTGAACCTACTACCAGGCAGGTTTAGCTACGGTGTTTTAAATCTAAGGACCTAAACCCTCCTGCAATCGTGTACTTGGCATAAAGTTGCCTGATCAGCTACAAAATCCTGAGCTTCGAGAATCATTTCACCACCAAACCCAAAGACATCCTTGGGTATTTATCTACCACTTTTGTGACTGTAATATCCAGACAGCAATCTGCTAATGGGCTTTTTTATCAATACTCATCAAAACTGGGCTAGCACGTGGCTACAGCAACTGATGCTATTCCTATAAAGTTAAACAAAAGGCTCAGAGGAGGGGCTGGCTGTAGGAGAGGCTGTCCCCACACTTCCCCTACCTTCAAGCTCCTCTGACAGTTTATGCCACCTATTTTAAAAGGCAGCTGGGTACGAGGTGCTAGGTACTCCACAACCTCCCTTCAACTTATTGACAAAACCCTCAGAAAGATGAGCTGACTTTTTATAACCAAATTAACTTTTACGTTAATGTCCATTACTGCAGTGAAAATAATTCACACGTGGATATAGCTAAATTCATTGTGCTCTGACAGTTCATTCCATTACACAGCGTGCTTTTAAGCTGGTCAGCGTTCCTCTGTCTGCTGCTGCTCCTTTATGTTCTTCCTTACAAAACAAACATGATGACAGCAAGAAATAGGTACTTCTACTTTATATTTAAATGGCATCTCCTATCTAAAGACCTTATTTCACTAATAAAATATCAGGCTACCACCAAAGAAAATGTTTCTCACTACAGCACTCACAAAAACAAGCAAGCTACAGATATAGTTCTATAGCGCCTTAAAATTCTATAACACAGGTTTATGTTTAAATATGAAAATTCTTCTGAGTGAGAAACAAGATCATGTCTGTAAAGTCCTCTTAGTTAAGCGCCATCCCTCTCTGCTGGTAAATGAGTCTCCATTTCTATGAACAAGCTGTGCATGTCTCCCAAAAAACCTAACTGTTTCCCAGGTCTTTGTGAAAGGCAAAGGCCTTTTGTAAAACAGTGCAGCTCCAGAGTCCCACACTGGTCTTTGGTTATACACACACGCATACAACTAGATACACCCACCTAAACACGTGTTCCTACACTTTCTGCTCTTTCCTCCTTTCCACTGATTGAGGAAACAAAGCAAGCAATCTGTCCAAAGGCCCTTCTTTTGAAGGGAGCTTTAATGAGCTCAGAAACACTTGCAGAGCAGCCTTATTGTTGAGCGTTGGAGCCTTGACTCCGTAGGGAAGGAAGAATAACTCCTCAGGTAACCTGCTCTTTGGTGCCACACCGAGTGGAGCTTGCACTTGGCAGAAAGGCAAGAGCTTGACTCCAGAAGTTGCAGGGATCAGTCCATCTCACACCAGGCAGCCAAACTCCTCCCTGAATCATATTCTCCTTCACCCTGAGGAGCCTTTCTTACTTGCTCTTATTAAAATACAGCTTTTACTCTGCATCACTTTCACTAATGGCTTTGATCTGGACACGAGTAACAACTGCACAACATCTGTATTCACTAGGCTACTCTGAGAATCTGTCTAAAACCAGCTAATAATTTACATAGAAATTGTATCTACCAGAGGGAGCCCGCATGGCCAATATAATAGAACAATACTGACACAGGCAAGAAAAGTTAATTAAAGCTTTTAGATAAGGGCTACACAGTTCAGACAAGATAAAACCCATATTTCCATTATGATTTTATAAAATTTAGAGGTAACATATTATATAATTGCATGTCTTTTTAGGATCTGCCCTTCCAAACTGAGACTTTGAAATGCTTCTACTTACATAACATGTCTGTGAACAGTAGAAGACATAATAAAGACAAAAGATCAAAATGTTTTCTAACTTTATTATTATCATCTTTATTAGAGCTTTGAAGCTTGCTGTTGCAACACTGAAAGAAGAAAAAAACCAAGAAAACTGATCCAGACCTGCCCTGTGACATTGAAGGATTTGGAATGAAACCAGTAAGTCTCTTTACACAGACTACTTGGGACCAGTAAGGTAAGTTTTGAACTGGTTCTGATCAGTGTGAAGCACAAATGAGTAGTAACTCTCAACACAATTCTGAAAACGCACCATGTGCTTGGTTTTCAGTAATCTCTGAAGGCAGCTGTCAGTAACTTCACTGACACCGACAGAAAAGCTAAAACAAAAACTAAGCAGTTAAAGAATCAGAAGAAAAAAACAAATAGCAGCATTACATTTATCATTTCTGTAAGCTGCACTAATTCCAACGCTTAGTGTCTTTGGCGCTTTGTACTACCAAGTTACATGCATTTACCTTTGTATAGAGAAGCTGTCTCCAGAGTCCAAATCAAGACTATGTCGAAAGTGTGAAAAGCAAACTGTAAATTCTGAAAACTATCTCATTCTTTACTTGGGCAGCGCTTCACAAAACTAAGATTCAATTTTTAGTGAGACTTCAGAAACGTTCCCAATTACAATCAAGAAAAAAACTATTTGTCAACATTCTAAACTTACAGCCTTTTTCTGAATACAACTTAAAAAATAGGTATATTCTGAACGTGCAACCCCCTGAAAATGAAGTGGTTCCACTATTCACTGTCTTTAATCAAGACCAGGGCCATTCATACTTTTAAATTAATTGCAAGAAAACACGCTATTCCAGGAGTACAAAAGAAAGTTATTTCCAAAGAGGTAAGTAGTTTGAAGTTAATTTCTAGTTCATATGTTCAAACTATGTTAATTTTTCTTTAAGAAGCAAAACAAGAAGACTAAAGTGGGGTTTTCTTTGAACTCAATTTCTCTTCCTTCTGCCCATCTGCTACCACAGAATGTCACATGCTCTCTTATACAGCTTCACTTGTTCACATTACCTGATTGGTTTTGATGCAACTGTTCATGTAAGTAAAATTACTCACATTCCTAAGTACTCAAAGGATTTTAACTTTGCTGCTCCCAAATCTGTCCATTGCATTTGCTTGGACTGTAAGTAACATTTTTTGAACACTTTAAGTTTCTTTCCCTCTTTTCTCTATCAAAAAACCCCTCCAGCCAAAAAAAAAAAAAAAAAAAAAAAACAAAAACACCCAAAAAGAGAAAGATTATGGCATGAACAACAGTTGGTTTTTGAGTCTCTTCCTC